ATAATAATATAAATATATAAGAATAAAATAAAATAAATACTAAAATAATATAAATATAATAATATATATATATTATTCAACATTTTAAATATAATAAGAAATAAATAATAAAAACATATAATAATAATAAATAAATAATAAATACATATAATAATATATATACATGACTAAGATTTTTAAACATCATAAATAATAAATAAACATAATAATAATAAAAGAATAATAATAATAATAAGAATAATATATAAAATAAATATAATAATAAAAATAATAATAAAAATAATAATAAAATAATATATACATATTATTTATTTTTTTAAATATAAGAAATTTTAAAAAATAATAAATAAAATAATTCATACATAAAAACAATAACAAAAATATATTATATATATATAACATATAATATTAATATTCCAAAAAATATTTATAAAAAATTGTATATAAAAATATTTTTGAAAATATCGAAAAAAACATCGAAAATAATAATATTATATTTAAAAATAAAATATTTTCATATATATATATAAATATATCATATAATATTTAAAAAATATATATACAATCTAAAGTAACAAAATATTTTAATAATTTTTATCATTTTCCAAATTATATCTTTTTATTTATTTATTTGATAATTCTTTTCTTTATTGATTCAATATGTGGCATGTGATCCAACATCGAGGTTGCGCTCCCAAACTTTCGAAAAGCAGCATAAGACGTTCTCTACCACCGGCCAACTCAAAGGAACCTCGGTCTCTCGAACGGCTCGTGCAACTTTGCGGTAATGCTTTGTCAATTTCCGTTCAATTGCGTGCACATATTGCACTGGATGCTTCACCGGCGCCAAATCACTGCCCAGAATCATGCTGCGATGGTGGAGGCAGCTGATCATCTTCGCCGTACCGCCAACTCTTGGGACAATTAGAACCGGGAAAAAGCGGGACACAAAAGTCTCCGGGGTCATCATCTGATTGAGTTCAAGTAGTTCAGCAATGCGGTCGCCCAGCACCTTTGTACCCAAGCCGTCAAGTGGAAAGAGGATCGTCGCGTGGTGAAAATTTCCGCGGCACCACTTCCTCCTGGCATTTTGATGCGCGTCCTTCCAAGCTTTGCGTGCTGTGGCAACACCAAGAGGATTGAAGGGACGAAAGCCGCCATGTGTGCAATGCCCCCAAGCAACAGTTTCTGCATAGTCGAAAGCTTTGCAACCCCAAGCATAAATCTCATCCCACATTGCTCTCGGACAATGTTTCGCCAAAACCAAAGTCGAAGGAGTAGCATCGTCATCATCTGAATGGTCTGCAGCTTCAGCCTGCAAATGAAGCTGCTCTGCTTGAGCATCATCAGTATCGTGGTCAGGTATATGATCTGCAGCCTGAGCAAAATTTCGAGGGCGACCAGCTGTCTTTCCCCAAACCATCGGATCGTCAGTTTTCTCGAACATTTGTTTGCACCAAGCTGGTGAGGTAGAAGGCCCAAGAGCCTACAGGGAAGGGAGATGCAGCGAGGTTGAGTGAAAATGTGATGAGGCCGAAGAAGTAGCAAAAAATAGCAAAGCAAATTCACCTCGAAACTATTGATTATGCAACATGTTACGCGAGGCTGAGGTCATAAAGCAAACTCTATACTGCACGAGCAAACGTAATTCGGCCAAGGCACTTGCAATTGTTGTTGAAACCAAGTGCACATGGCAGGGCCCCCGGTGATCACGGAGAACATCGTAGCCAGACTGAGGGCTCCCCCATACAATGGGGCCTGAGGATCTCGGACTGCAACGTGCAACAGAGCTGCAGCGATAAATCTCATACGAAAGGAGCCCCTGTCCCAAAAATTGTTGACATTGGTAAGCCGAAGTTGTCGGACATGGCCCAGCAAGGCCGGGGCAGTCAGCACACGTGCCCACGTAGTTCCTTGATATGTCTCCTTGAGCTTCGTGAAGACTGGCTCACAACGCTCATGCCCGTAATTCCTGATGGCTTCTCGCGCCACAACATACACGGCCATAGCTTCCAAGACCTCGTCAGTAGCTGCATCTGAGCACAAAAAGAACCATCGTCCGGCATCTGTGCAGGGTACTCTTGACAGCAAAGTCTGAGGTAATTCCTGCATAGCCTCGTATTTCAAAATGGACGGCATCTGCAACGTCGACTGGGCTTCCACAAAGCGTTCCCAAGCGTTTTGGTAACGAAGTTTTTTCTTGGGAGGCATGACCTTGCAGTACAGCAGCTGTGTGCGTCAATGATTGACAAATTTAATTGGGTTTCGGTTGTCGCGTGACAGTCCGTTCTTCTACATCAAATGCAATTTGTAAGTGCATATCAAACTTTGCAATCAGAGGAACCGAATGTTTTTGCCAAAGCTAGGCATACCTTTTCGGGATACAAAAACTTGAAACAGCGAGTGGACAGGCAGATGGCAATACCATTGGAATGAAAACAAATTTGCCTGAAGCTATTCATATTTGATTTTCTGGCATTAACAACGTACTGAGCCTGTCAACATCTCGAATTTTCTGTGGAGGCTTTCAAGCAGCAATATCAACAACACCATGAGCAATTCCTGTGAAAAGATGTCGTGCAAAATCGTAAAGCCTCAAGTATGCGTGTCGCATATCAATTGGGGCAACCTGTCGTCAAGGCTCAGAGCATGAAGCACGAAAACGGTGCATAGTTATTGTCTCGGATAGCTATTGCACATCAGCATTGCAGAGAGCTTCAATCAGAGCCTCAACCTACTGGTGTGGTTTGTTTGAAAGAAATCCGAGGCGGATCCAAAAGCAAGTGAGGCTTTCAAGCAAGAACAACAGCAATATATGAGAAATTCCTGTCGAAAGATTTCTTACAAAATCGTAAAGCCTCAAATAGGTGCTCCCAAAGCCATCTTGGCAACTTGTAGTCAAGGCTCAAAGCATGAAGCATAAAAACGATTCATGTATCGTTTCGAATAGCTATTTCATTGTAACACTGCTCAGAGCCTGAATCAGAGCCTCATCCCACTGTCGTCGTTTGCTTCAAAGAAATCTGAGGCTGGTCCACAAGTAAGCTGAGGAAGTCAGCCGCCGGAGACGTGTCTGGCGGAGGCGTTGTCACACGAACTTGCATGACCAAGCCTGCAAGAATATCATTCAAAATGTGGTTCAAAAACCAGACCCTTCCTTCTTGAGCTCCAACATTCGTCTGTGGCAAAACACGGCAATACTCATCAGATTCTTCGACGTGTCCTCCATAGATGCCGGCAGCCTCAAACTTGTCACGAAAGGCATAGGTCTGACCGACAAAAACTCCACTCAAATTCCAACCATCCTGGTGGAACTCTGCACTGAAGATCAAAATCTTGTGCCCAGCCGGCGGTGCAGCCTCAAAGGGGTCCAATGTAGCTGGCGAAGTCACTGTAGTGGCATTGGCAAACTGCGTAGTGTCGACAGCATTGCCAAGGGGCTCGGCAATAGACAAATGGACTTTGAAGGCATTTGGGAAAGCGATCTCATTGTCAGTCAGATGGGTCTTGCGGTAAGTAAAGAAGGAATCAGCAAGTCCGGAAAGTGTCCTTTGGGAATGCTTTAATGACAAATGATATCCTGATTTTCTACAGGGCTCAAGTTTGCGAGTCACCATCTTATTGCAATCATATAAATATAACTTATATACAAATATATATGTATCAATAATTTATTGATATGTATATATATATAAATATGCACACATGCATTGCACGGTTTCCAGAGCAGCTACACCGTCACCGTCGCTGAGTTCCAATCACCCTCTGGGACTTCCTTCAGAGGTGGACGGCAACAACCTCACCAAGCTGGGCTGATGATGGCAGCCAAAAATGACTGGCACGGCTGTCTTACAATGACTGAAGTCTTTGTAGTGCAAATGTGAATCAAATCCAAAGTCTCTGTCTATTCTCGAACAAATCTTTAAGTGGTAGTGCATTCACCTTGAAGGACCTTTCACTCCTTTTGCTGCAAAGATCCCAGTTCCGGCCTGAAATAATGTGCCACTGCCTGCAAAAGATCGCATGTGCTGTTTTGATTCCGTGTGATGTTCAATCGTTATGGAAATGACCACCAACGATCAAAGCTTGCAACGGAACCTGGAGCCGGTTAGTCTGCTCGCGGTGGTGGCCTTGCCCAGTTGGATGCAATTTCAAAGTGTTGATGGCAGCAAATCCGGAAAGTGTCCTTTGGGAATGCTTTAATGACAAATGATATCCTGATTTTCTACAGGGCTCAAATTTGCGAGTCACCATCTTATTGCAATCATATAAATATAACTTATATACAAATATATATGTATCAATAATTTATTGATATGTATATATATATATATAAATATGTATACATGCATTGCACGGTTTCCAGAGCAGCTACACCGTCACCGTCGCTGAGTTCCAATCACCCTCTGGGACTTCCTTCAGAGGTGGACGGCAACAACCTCACCAAGCTGGGCTGATGATGGCAGCCAAAAATGACTGGCACGGCTGTCTTACAATGACTGAAGTCTTTGTAGTGCAAGTGTGAATCAAATCCAAAGTTTCTGTCTATTCTCGAACAAATCTTTAAGTGGTAGTGCATTCACCTTGAAGGACCTTTCACTCCTTTTGCTGCAAAGATCCCAGTTCCGGCCTGAAATAATGACGAAGTGACCAAAGGCGCGATCACACCGGATGAGCTACGGCAAGGACCACCAGATCCAAGAGGTTGTAAAAACGTAGGTTCTCAAAAAGAAACGATGTTCCGTGAGAAAACACGATGCTTTGGAAAAACACGATGTTTCCATATTTTGCCAAATTGTAACAATGCTGTTAGGTTCTAATCCTATAGCAAAACCAGGAAGCTAAGTGTCAACTGTGACCCTCAATGCAGCAGCCTTGTCATATTGCTGTCAAAGCAAATCTGCAATACTGGAAATATTTACTTGGGTATCCGGAAAACAGCTGCAGTCTGACTGCCGGCATTACGACGCCACATCAAAACAACAGTAACTGCATCGCATGTGTGCTGTTAGTGAAAAGCGGCACGTAGCAGCACAATATGCCCGAACCGAATTTGGCTTGTATGGTGTTTTCTGCTGCTAATCAATTGGGGGTGCCTTCAAAGTATCGCCAAAGCTTGTGCCACTGCCTGCAAAAGATCACATGTGCTGTTTTAATTCCGTGTGATGTTCAATCGTCATTCGCATGTGTGCTGTTAGTGAAAAGCGGCACGTCGCAGCAATATGCCCTAACCGAATTTGGCTTGTATGGTGTTTTCTGCTGCTAATCAACTGGGGTGCCTTCAAAGTATCGCCAAAGCTTGTGCCACTGCCTACAAAAGATCGCATGTGCCCTAACCGAATTTGGCTTGTATGGTGTTTTCTGCTGCTAATCAACTGGGGTGCCTTCAAAGTATCGCCAAAGCTTGTGCCACTGCCTGCAAAAGATCGCATGTGCTGTTTTGATTCCGTGTGATGTTCAATCGTTATGGAAATGACCACCAACGATCAAAGCTTGCAACGGAACCTGGAGCCGGTTAGTCTGCTCGCAGTGGCCTTGCCCAGTTGGATGCAATTTCAAAGTGTTGATGGCAGCAAGTCCGGAAAGTGTCCTTTGGGAATGCTTTGATGACAAATGATAGCCTGATTTTTTTCAGGGCTCAAGTTTGCGAGTCACCATCTTATTGCAATCACACATATATATATATAATTTATATACAAATATATATATATATAATTTATATACAAATATATATATATATAGATATATGTATCAATTATTTATTAATATATATGTATATATACATTTTTTTCAGGGCTCAAATTTGCGAGTCACCATCTTATTGCAATTATATATATATATAATTTATATACAAATATATATATACATGCCTTGCACTGTTTCCAGAGCAGCTACACCGTCACCGTCGCTGAGTTCCAATCGCCCTCTGGGACTTCCTTCAGGGGTGGATGGGAACAACCTCACCAAGCTGGTACGGCTGTCTTACAATGACTGAAGTCTTTGTAGTGCAAATGTGAATCAAATCCAAAGTCTCTGTCTATTCTCGAACAAGACTTGAAGTGGTAGTGCATTCACCTTGAAGGGCCTTTCAGTCCTTTTGCTGCAAAGATCCCAGTTCCTGTCTGAGATGATGACGAAGGGACCGAAGGCGCGATCACAACCTGGAGCCGGTTAGTCTGCTCGCAGTGGCCTTGCCCAGTTGGATGCAATTTCAAAGTGTTGATGGCAGCAAGTCCGGAAAGTGTCCTTTGGGAATGCTTTGATGACAAATGATAGCCTGATTTTCTTCAGGGCTCAAGTTTGCGAGTCACCATCTTATTGCAATCACACATATATATATATATAATTTATATACAAATATATATATATATATAATTTATATACAAATATATATATATATAATTTATATACAAATATATATATATTGATATATATATATATATATATACATTTTTTTCAGGGCTCAAGTTTGCGAGTCACCATCTTATTGCAATCACATATATATATAATTTATATACAAATATATATATATATATATGTATCAATTATTTATTGATATATATATATATATATACATGCCTTGCACTGTTTCCAGAGCAGCTACACCGTCACCGTCGCTGAGTTCCAATCGCCCTCTAGGACTTCCTTCAGGGGTGGATGGGAACAACCTCACCAAGCTGGTACGGCTGTCTTACAATAACTGAAGTCTTTGTAGTGCAAGTGTAAATCAAATCCAAAGTCTCTGTCTATTCTCGAACAAAGCTTGAAGTGGTAGTGCATTCACCTTGAAGGGCCTTTCAGTCCTTTTGCTGCAAAGATCCCAGTTCCTGTCTAAGATAATGACGAAGGGACCGAAGGCGCGATCACACCGGAGGAGCTACGGCAAATACTACCAGATCCAAGAAGTTGTTCAAAAAGAAACGATGTTCCGTGAAAAAACGACGATGTTTTGGAAAAATGCGATGTTGTCATATGTTGCTAAATTGTAAAAATGCTGTTCAGTTCCAATACTATAGCTAAAGAAGGCCAAATTGTAACAATGCTGTTAAGTTCCAACACTATAGCTAAAGAAGGACGCTAAGTGTCAACTGTGAGCCTCAATGCAGCAGCCAGAAATAAAACCCCAATCCGTGAGGCTTGTGCCAAAAGCACCAATTTTCGGGAAAATTTCGCGGTTCCGTCGAAATCCGGAACCAGCAATTTTCCGGAAAAATTGCCAGTTTTGGAAATCCAAAATCGCCAAATTTCCGGAAAAATTCGGGGTATTGGCCGAAATTTCCGGAAAATTTGGGACTTTTAGCATAATTGTATTATGTATTGGGTCAATTCCGGCTACAATTGGCGGGTTTCCGACAGAGGCGCCCACTTTTTCGACAGCAGTTCCGTTTTATGTAATAATAATAATAATAATAATATATATTAATATAATAATTATATTTAAATATATAAATCTTTAAATATATAATTATTTTTTTTTAATTATCTCCGAAAAAAAATTCCTTAATCCATCCAATTATTTAAATATATAATTTATTTAATTATATAATATCTAAATTAAATATATAAATTAATATTTCATATTTCCTCCGGGATCTCGCAATTTATCCAATCCTTTATAAATTTATATATAATTACCGATTTATACCCATTTATATATTTTTTTTAAATATATTTTTCTTTCCTTCAAAATATTAATTTTTAATATTTTAATATTATTTTATTTATTATTATTTTTATAATTTTTATTTTTTAATATTTTTTTTATGTTGGTATATTTAAATTTTAATATTGTGACCTCAAATATTGATATATATATATATAGACATATATAAAGATATTTTTTTACAATTACAAACACTGGATCCTGGGTCATCATTACATATCATTGTATTCCATTTTGGAACGAAAATCATAATTTAGAACAAAGAAGGTTTTATACACAAATACATTTACTTACAAATACATTTACAGTAAATTATTTACATATAAAAATTTTTTTGACACACAGAAGCTTTTTACACACATATTTTTTTACACACAGCTGTTTTTCACAGAAACTTTTACATACAGGTGCTCTTGCCGATATATTCATTAAAAAACAAAGTATCAATAACTATAGATAATAGTTAGTTGGACTAGAAAACAAGTAATTATGCATTCGGAAAAATCAGATATGATTCCTAGTATGATCCTACTCAGATTGGCTATACAAACATCCCAATGCAAAAATCTCTAACATCATAAATGTGGAAATCGAAGGCATTACTGTCGTATTGACTCAATATGACTCAATTCAGTGCTGAAATGGTTTTATTAAATTGACATGTCTCTACATATGTTGTTACGTTCTACTGATAAACAGTATGTTAATCGACTATTTTCACTATTTAATTGTGAACAAATCGACATCATTGTCTTGCTTGATCTCAGATTTCCAAGTACGCAAACCTCGACCTGAGACATGCGACACTCTCCCACTCTGTTCAGCTTGAACATCATTAAGCCATACCAACTCTTGACCAACTCTTGTTGATTATGGTGAGAAATCGCACATTTGTTTGGTGATTCTACACATCTTTGTTTTTTCAGAAATCTTCATTTTGTGCTGCTTGCCACAACCTCAGGTTCCAACAAGCCAGGTCAGGCATATCCCACAAACAGCTCGTCTCCTTGCCCACCTGCCGGTCCCGTGCTTCTCACCCTATGCACCGGAGAAAAATAGGAAATATTTTTTTAGTATTGAAGCACAGTTTGTTTGTCTATTTTTGCAATTACTGTACGAAATATACACTAAATTCTAATTGTAAAATATTGTAAACTGTTCTGACGCAGAGCAATTTGTTTGTTTTTTATATCCATTGATTGTAGATCCGTATACAGGATCACAAACAGATGGCATAAAACCACCACACAAAACAGATGGCACATTCACCCTGGGGATCTCCAAAAAAGCCATCTGGTGTGCTATCGGAACATGGAATGCCAACTGGCTCCCCATTTTGCTTAGAGTTTCTATCTTTGAAATCCCAACCATGAACTCAGCATCTTCATCGTGAAATCACCGCGCCGTGGCGCCGCGTTGCCCAGCCTTCTTCGCTTCCTCCAGGAGCCGCTCTTCCAGCTCCGCTTCGCTAAGCGCGGAGAGACCGCAGGCGTGGACGGCAATACCTAACATGACGACCCTGGCAAAGGTTGGAAGACTAGTTTCCACCAAAAATGTGTTATTGTTCACTAAAAATGTATTATTTTGTACTATTTTGTACTAAAAGTGTGTTATTTTCTACTAAACATGTGTTATTTTCTAATAAACATGTGTTATTTTCAGGGTTCAACTGTCAATTTACTAGAGGGTAATCGGAATAGTAATAGGAATATCTATAATTGGATAGTATCTATAATGCTATCATGGCGGTGATATGCGGTGATCACAATAGTAATCAACACTGGCAACACAATATATAATAGCAATTATTACAATACATAATTAATATGATGATCTCATTAATCTATTGTGATTATAACTGCAATGATATCATAATCGCATGGTGGTGTAACACTATTAGCAATATTAAATATTCTTGCAGCGCTATTATATAATATTGATAGCTATTATCGCTATTTATTTTCATAGTGATCAAAACAGTGGTGTAACAATACGATCAGGGCGGTGTAACTATAGTAGTCGACAACAGGAATACAACAATCTTTATAGGTAGTATCATCAAACTATCTTTTACTATTACTATTTGTAGGATAGTGCTTGCTATTGTTATTGTTATTCTCAGACTCCTGGACCCTCCAAGTACCTATAAAAATGATGTTTTACCCCATGGTTTTAGTACTTGTACCATTTTTTTTGAAATATGGCAGGGTCTAGGTTGTCATTGTTCTTACTATTCATTATTCCTATCCTATTACTTCTATGGTGTTTCTTATGTGTTGTTTTTATACTGTTTGCGCTATTAGTTTTCAAAATTGTGATTAATAAGATATGACAATCATACTTGTGGGAATGAATGTAATATAAGGGCAATAGCATCATTCAGGATATATATATATAATGTTAAGATATGTTAAGTATAAGGGCAATATGAGTATAATACAGTATCAATACTGGTGACAAATACCAATAATAATAGTTATATATACTATCATTACTGATGACAAATACAAATAATAACAGTAATGAATGATGATGATGATGATGATGATGATGATGATGATGATGATGATAGTTCACAATGATTCACATCATCACTATATAGCATCATTGCCCTTCACATTATCACTGTGGAAAACATGATCATCATTGACATTATGGTTGTCATGTTTTATTCTTAGTATTGTTCTCATCATTAGCCTCTGGTAATTTAACATAGCGAACTGGACAATCACCATTTCAAAAAAGAATAACCAGAATAAATTGAATAAATCAACTATAGAAAAACTGTAAATCCGAATAAATCAACTGTAGAAAAAACGGTACCGGTAAAACATGATAAATCAACGATGTTCATGGGCCATGGCTTCCAGAGCGAAGTGTTCAACTGTTCCATAAGCAGAGGCGAGTTGAACAGTTCGTTCACCGAGCCGCGGTTTCCAGTGCCCTCCACCTGGCGATGGAACGATGACCTTCCCGTTGAGAGAAAGGGCACTTCGTTGATCTTCTTTTTCTGATAGCTATATAGCAGCTATACCAGCTATACCAGTTATACCAGTTATAGCAGTTATACCAGTTATACCAGTTATAGCAACTATACCAGTTATCTATACCAGTTATACATAGTTATTACCAGTTTCTTCTATATTCCTGTTATTTTCATGGGACACGCATTTCCGTTTTTTCGCTGACGACATTGGGCCTTTTTGGGCCGTCATGAAAATTCAGCGTATGCATTCCCTCAAGGATTCCCATCCTTTGGGGGTCCTGAGCCGCGGGCTGTCTCGAACAATTGCTCCAGATCATTCTCCAACTTGATGGCCTTGTTGACCTCAAACAACTGCTGTGACACTTACCAGGTTTGGAAAATCACACCAGGTTTTAAGAAAGCAACGTTTAAAAAACAGATGCAATGTATTATACTATACACATATTCATATCTTCATATTATATATATACACATAATTACACATACATACACATACATAGAAAACACATCTTTTTCAGACTTTGAATTTGAAACACACCCTCCGGTAATTTAACAGTTCGCCATGGAAGCCATGGCCCACGCATACTTCAATGGTTTACATCGCAAAAATGGTGATTTTCCAGTTTTGCAGTTTAACAACCATTTTATTAATCATATTCCCATGAAAAAATATCGCATATCGAAATATATGTCCCCATCAAATCTCCAATTGTTTCATCCATTTTCATCCACGTTCATCAATGTTCATCCATGTTCATCCATTTTCATGGTGAAACATGTCCCACTTTCGATGCTTAAAACGGCGTCGTTACACTGCTGCCCTGCCTGAATGGAAAAACTGATCCCTGGCCGATTTGCCAAGGCATTGCCGTAGGCTGCCAGAGGTGCTGCCTCGGTGAAACATGGTGAAATCCATGCTATTTTCCTTCAGATGTTGTTTTTTTCGTTCAAAAAATATCAAGATCATGGTAAGATAGTTGTTTTTTGTTTTTTTTTGTGTGTTTTTGAAACATATCTAAGAGAATCGTAAGACAATGGTAATGTTTAATATCAAACATATCATGATGTCATGATGCCATGATTCAATTCAACACAGAATGTTCTTCTCATCATCCCAGAGTGCTATACATCACGACTAACAGTTTATACATCATCTACAAAATTAGATGTGTATGTGTGTGTGTGTCACTTCATATTCCCATTAATCACTATATACTCCCATCTGGTAATCAAACATGGCAATAAAACATCTACAGATGATTTTCCCACTTAAATGTCCACTGACAGTGGATTCCCATCACAATTTATAATCTCCCCATTATGATAATATTCCCATTGTACAATGTTCGCATTATTCACTGTATAATCCAAGTATACATGTTCCAATTAGTTTTCCCATTGACCACTATATATATAATATATCCCAATATATTATCATCAATAAAACAACCTATAAATCATGGGTGTGTGTGTGTGTCACTTCATACATACATACATACATACATACATGCATACATACATACTTACGTACGTACCATACCATACCTTACATAGATTCCATGAATTACATAAATCATGTTACATAGATTACATTCCATTACAGTACATTGCATTGCATTGCGTTACATTGCAGTACATCGCATTACATTGCATTGCATTACATTACGTTACATTACATTCCATTACAGTACATTACATACATTACATACATTGCAATACATTGCATTGCATTGTATTGTATTGCATTACAGTACATTACGTTACATACATTACATACATTACATACATCACATTCACATACATTACATACATGACATACATTACATACATCACATTGCATTGCATTGCACTGCATTGCATTGCAGTGCAGTACATACAGTACAGTACCGTACATGCATGCATACATTACATTACAATACATATTATATACAGTTCATTACATTACATTCCATTACATTCCATTACATATTATATCCATTACATATTATTTCCATTACATTACATATTATATCTATGACATTACACTACACTACACAACTTTGCATATATATATATATATTTACATAGCTGGTTGGTGGTTTCAACCCCTCTGAAAAAATATGAAAGTCAACTGGGATGATGACATTCCCAATAGATGGAAACATAATCCACATGTTCCAAACCATCAACCAGTAAAACAACTATAGGTATAACTACCATAAGTCCTACAAAAATTAGAGTCAGACATAGAATTACATAGATAAAGGTCCAGTCAGCGCTGGGTCGCCAGATCCACGTGTGGCAGGAAGTTGGTGGCCACCACGCCCTGCGGCCGCAGCAAGCCGCCGGCGAGCGCTTCTGCAAGACCCTCGCCCCTGGCGGCTTCGTTTCGTGGTGATGGTACCATCAAAACATGGGATAACTGGCAAAAATGGTGGTTTAATATGGTTTAGTATGGCTTAATATGGTTTAATATAGTTTAATATGGTTGAATATGGTTTAATGGGAATATCACGTGAAACAAATTCGGGATCTGATGGGAAAATATGGGAACTATCATGGAATAATATGAGAATAGAATGGGATATTATGGTAATACTATGGACGTATTATGGGAATGATAATGAAAATATAATACAATGGGAATCACAATAGAAATATCATGGAATCAGAATGGGGAATACCATGGTAGCCATTGACATTCAGACCTCGTCAGGTGATCTCCGGTTGAGACTTGCAGTGATTTGCAGTTGTAATGGGCTGAAGAACATCATTTAAGTGATATATGTCACTTTAGTTACAGGAGTCATAATCTAATTTGAATAAATGTTGAGGGCCATAACTGTGTTATGTATATATATATAAATACATTGTTGGGGGGTCACAAAACAGGGGAAAATTGGTTCAATACCCATGACGTCGCAAAACATGGGAACAGTCACCATGGGAACAGCCAGTGACATATGGAACATGGGCTTGAAAAAACGGATAGATGATGAATATCCGAATATTAATGATATTTAATGATAACATATGATAACTATGATATTTAATATCCCATGATATTCCATGATATTTAATGATAACTATGTGGAATATCATGGAATATCCCAACTAGATGGATTTCAACATGGGAATTTCGCCGCTCAGCCCACCACAAATTGAGATTGAGTGCGTGCGCTTTGGGGAGGTCAACATTGTCCGGGACATTGGCAAAAGTGGAGAAAAAATCAGAAAACACTGCAGTGTATAGTAAGCCCGAAGAAAAAAAAAATCATCACTAGGACCAGTAGGATTTTACTTTTCTATCTTTTTCGCGGGTTGTTTTTTTCCATCTATTTCTGCAGCAACTAGCAAAACAGGAGTTGACGTCGCCTAGCATCTTACCCCTGAGCCTTAACTGTATGGGCCTGGGTGAAAACGTCAAAACCTTGCTATAGCCGGATGTGCATCCCCCATTTTCAGATGGTAAATCACAGAGTAGGTCTACACCTATCCCATACATGCATGTTTATACATACGGTCATATACATACTCTGCGTATCTCTGCGTTACATCACGATGCAATGCATGACATCAGCTTATGTTCCGCAGTATGACATGACGTGAGATGCTAGTACATACATGAATTACGTTCCATTGCGTTGCATTGCACTACATAATTACCATGCGTTAAATGCATGCATAAATGTATCTATCTAGTTATCGAAGGAAGTTTAGAAGTCAAACTTCCGACAATATGGGCAGATGAAAAGCAGAGATGGGAGGCTCCGGAGGGTCGAAAAGTAGGCTCGCTAAATCGGCGGGTGCGAAGCCAGCTGGCCAGATGAGAGATGAAAAATTGCACGCCGCTGTGGCGCGAAGCACATTTCCAAGTCAAAATGTACAAAACACCTCAGCTTCGGAGCACTTTTAGGAGTTGCGCTGTCGAAAAAGTGCACGCCGTTGTGGCGCGAAGCGCGTTTGCCAGTGAAAAAGGTAAGAACACTTCACGTTTGGAGCACTTTTCGAAGTTGCGATGTCGAAAAAGTGCACGCCGTTGTGGCGCGAAGCACATTTCGAAGTCAAAATGTACAAAACACCTCAGCGTCGGACCACTTTTGGAAGTTGAGATGTCGAAAAAGTGCACGCCGTTGTGGCGCGCAGCACATTTCGAAGTCAAAAGTGCAAAAAAATATACCCCCAAAAGATGACCTGGGGGGGTTGGGTGTCCCCATTTTGTAGAGTAATCTGGCTTTTGGGGCCCCAGGGCTCTACAGAATCAGGAACCTGCCACAAATCTAGCAAAGGGGTTTCTCTACAAAATCAGCGCACCCAACCCCCTTTTTTTGGTGCACTTTTGTGATTTTCAGAACCACTGGCCTCTACAAAGTGGGGAACCTGACATGAGCACACATTTGAGCAGAATTGCTACTTGGAATAAAGCAAGCCCTAAAAATACAAAGATCCATTTTGTAGAGGGGTGATGTGAAAGAACCTTGGTCTCCCCTGAAGACCCTGAAATTTACAAAAATCAATTTTGTAGAGGCAATTCCTGTTCCACGTTTCCAGTTTTTGTAACATCAATATAATTTGTATATATTTATGCACATGAATGTTGACACACCCCAAAACCTCTACAGAATGAGGAACCTACAGTTTCAGCCAACTACAACATGTTCCCTCTCCAAAATCAGGAACCTGTAATTGCATATCCTTGCCGGCACTTAGGCTGTCCAAAAAATGGTTTTGGCGGACCCCCGGGGGTCCTGATAATGGAGTGGATTTTTTTGGTGGGATAAAAATTTGAGGGGTTTGGAGCACTTTTGGACGTTCAGATGTGGTTTCGCGTGGCAGGCGCAAGGGATTGTTCACCTTGTCAAAAGTGAGCAAAACGTGAAGGTTTTGTAGCATGTCCAAAAACCATGGCAGGCGTGGGGCATTTGAGGAGGATCTGCAAAGATGCATTTTCCGTGAGACATGTTCATCAGAGCTGTTAGGAGGTCCGGGCGCTGAATTCCTGAGAAGGGTTGCATTTTGGAGCATCAGATTTTCAGGTTTGCTGAGATGATTTTGCGTGACAGGTGCAGCACTTCGTATGACCTGGCATCACTTTTTCGTGGCAGGTGCAGTACTTTAGACGGGTGGAGTGGAAAAATCGCAAAAACGCATTGATACGAGGCCGTAAGCTCTGCACTCAACTTTCCAGTTTTGAATCATGTCTCGCAGAACTGCTTCGTTTTTGATGTTGTCAACTTTGAACACTGAGGAAGTCTCGCAGAATTGTTTCGTTTTTGATGTTGCCAACTTCAAAAGTTGAGGAAGTCTCGCAGAATTGATGCGTTTTTGGTGTCGTCAAGTTCAAAAATTGATGAAGTGTCCCAAAATAGCTGCGACAGATAGGCACATAGACAGATAGACAGATAGACGGACAGATAGACAGACAGACAGACAGACAGACAGAGAGATAGAGAGATAGATAGATAGATAGAGAGAGAGAGAGAGACAGAGACAGAGACAGAGACAGAGACAGAGACAGAGAGACAGAGACAGAGACAGAGACAGAGACAGAGACAGAGAGATAGATAGAGAGAGAGAGAGAGATAGATAGATAGGTAGATAGATACATAGATAGATAGATAGAGAGAGAGATAGATAGATAAATAGATAGATAGATAGATAGACACAAAGATAGATAGATAGATAGATAGATACATAGAACTGCAACAACAACTACTACAACTGCGCTACAACTGCAACTGCACCTACAGCCGCAACTTAACTACAACTTCATCTACAACTTCAGCTACACTACAACTTCAGCTACACTACAACTACACACACTTCAACTACAACTTCAACTACACAACAACAACAACAGCAGCAACAACAACAACAACTACTACTACTACTACAACTACAACTACAACTACAACTACTGCGCTACACCACACTACATCCAGGAGTTGTGAATGAGGTGACCACTGCAACGATTGCAACCACTCCAAAAAAGCACAACTCCAACCACCTTTCGGTCCATCAGTGGCTTCGCTCTGCCATCCCTGAGTCACAACAACCAACCTCTCCTATAGGTTTCCTATTTCTGAAACTTCCGCCACCGCCTTGTGCGGTACTACTGGTATATATGTGATTATGTATATATATATATACATACATGCAGTCATCCTTTTTAGTAGAGAGAATATGTACATTTCAAGTAACATATCACTAGAATGGGAATATCTTTGGAACCATATTCTACCTGCAGGATCCCATCCACGGAGCGTTAAAGGCCCGGCCACCTGCTCCACAAAGCCGCAGGGACATTGCCATTCGGCTCGTAGGCATCGACAAGAACCTGCTGGATCGATCGATCGATGGATCAAGAGGCGACGATCGCAATGGGGATTCACAGGAGATAATGGGGATATACATAGAATATAATGGTGTAAAATACTAAATATATACATATATAATATATAATATAGTAAATATATATATATATATAATGGGGATATAACCACCAATATGATGTTTGGACTTGGTACCAGAAAATGGTGAACGCTGTCCTTCTGGGAAACATGTTGTGGGTCGGTCTGCTATCTGATTTATCATTTTCCAATAACTGTGTGAAGGGTTAAATACACCTCCAGTAATCGACCAACGGGAAGAGGAACTGAATCTGACGTGTGGTTTCACCCCATCGAACGAGCTGTTCCGCGGGGATATAGCGAGAATATTCATCAGCAAAAATGAGTAAAAAATAGGATACTTGCCCAAGAATCAATGGTGTTGTTGGCTAAAATAATCCTCCGGAACTATTGTCATTCAAGATCATCATCAGGGGTAGGGTAGCGACGGAAGTACAAGACGTGAGCACACAAATTGGAGGTTGGCTAGCACCAATTTTATCTGGCTTCTCAGCCAATCTGGCCACAGCCTAGCGCGGGGGTTGAGTGAAAAGTCTCTCTGAGTGTCAGGTATTACCGAGGGTAGTCATACTTAACTGCTGGTATCAACCTGTATGGATGTATGGTGCATTCAACCCATCCTCCAAATGTTTGGATTTATTTGTCACCATATGGAAGCACTATGTTGTCTGGTTTTGAAAGAGTTTGAATATTGGGTTTACCTGGTATCTGTATGTATCTGTATGGTGTTAGTTTGACTCATATGCTTGTATTTTTCACAGTCAAAGGCCAACGTGAAGGTGGAAAGTACCATGTCATTCAAGATAGTCGAGAACGACATTGACCATGCTGGCGAACTGACAGGACGCCCTTCTGAGCATTCCTTGTAATTATCAATTCTTACAGACTATATGGAATTGTCTGAAAATGGGGGGTACCCCCATTCCATCCCATGGTTCATCAATGTCCATCATCATTTCCCTTAAAGTATCGCCCCAGGAAAACAATCAATCCGTAGCAGCGACCGAAAAACTGGCAGAAAATACACAATTTACCACTATAGTCACTATACCTACCGCAATTTTGATGATACCAACCACTGCAATGAAACAACATAACCCAACTATACCAACTATACCAAGCACTACGCAATGGGTTTCTTATGATGATATCAACCCTCACACTATGTAGCCATCAGTCCTGGCAGTCCCAAGTCATAGTGGAATCATATGTTGCAGCACTCTCTGTTACTTTGAGGTATACTTGGAGGATAGATATATATATATATATACATATTAGTTATATTACTTGTATATTACTTGTGTATTACTTATACATTACTTATACATTACTTAAATATTACATTGCTTAAATATTATTAAGTATTTTACTTCTATATATCACTCTTATTCCGACCTTTTTCTGGCTACTTCCTAGCCCAAAAAAAACAAAAACGTCGAGGAGCCGCATCGTAGAGACCCTTCTCCTTGGCCTCGTGAGCCTGCGAGGTCATCGATCCATCAGCAGGGGGATTCAGAAGTATCCAGTATGATCAGTTGATATCATCGTTCATCATAATACCGGGTTACATAATAAAATATGATCATAATATAATAACATATAATATGATCATAATACGGGGTACCATCATCATATTCTTAAATCATAATACTCATTATATAATAACCTCCAATATGTTGATACATGCTAATATATGTTAACTAATATCATAGCTAATGAATATCCAGGATTAACTGGATTCAATTGGTATATTACAAAGTTAATGTTAAGTTCATACCACTAATCACCCCCCGAACTAATCAACACTCACAATCCAAGATAAGATAAAAATAATGATGATAAGTTTTTTTTTTAAAAAAAAAACTATTAATCAATCGATCACTCACAAGATTGATCCATATTGATGCTATAATACGGAATTCCATGATCTCCGCTTCTGCGTCCGTGCGTCTTTTTGAGCAGTCTCCAATGGTGTTGAAATCCAGGAGCACGATACGTGCAAGATAGTTCAAGTTAGGTCGATGACCATACTGTCATACACCATGTTTTATATATCATAAATAGAGGGCAAGTTACGGTAAGTTACGGTAAGGACATCGCATGATCATTCGGAATTCTCTGATAACCGCCTCCATGCGTATGGGGGATGACCATCTCCTCTTACAGTACCCTGAAGGCTGGTGGGCCCCCGACCAAATGCGTAATGGGGCAATAAATGCATTGCCCAAAAATAGAGGTAACTGGGAGTTGACCAGGCTGAAAAAAAAAACAAACACTTCTCTGTTGGAGTGGGGAATTAATTTGCCTCGACTCTCAAAATACCCTAAAAAATGGGTACTTAATTCGTACTTACTACATCATTGATTTCAATACACTTCTACCCATACGTTTGCATGGCTGTACTCTTGAGCTTGCGGCAGGGATTTGGTGCAGCGCCCTGGAGCTTGGAACATTCCATATATATATATATCCCAATATCCCAATATCACATCTTGCTGCCCACAGGCCTGCTCCTTGACTGCACGCAAAGCAAACATCGCTCCATCCTTGCCGGCACACTGTGTCCAAGCCCTGAAAACATCTGGCAGCGTCCCCATCTTCCAACTGTTTGCACCAACCTTTGTACACATATTATATATATATACATACAAATGTTACAAATATGACTACCTACATATATATATATAAATATATATATATATATATATAATTGAAGTAATTATATATATATATGCAAACATATTAACTACACATATATCTATATATGATTTATATATGTTACTTGTTCATTTTCATGCCATACTCTAATTAGGGTCGTTCCCTATCGGTAGTGAGGATTTCTGCGTTCACAGACTTTGAGGCGACTCATGCAAAACAGGGGTATCGGTACAGGGTCGTCCCCTATCGGTAACGAGGGTTTTGCACACCCCTCAGCAAGGCCAAGGCGAAGCAAGACCAAATGATATAGTGCAACAATTTGATCGGTTATTCAGAATATGATTCATATATGTATAATATATATATATATACAGAATAGATTTTATGTTTGCACTGATTGCACTGCTGTTGTATCTCCATGTATCTCCGCGTCGCACCTCCTGGATGACTCTCAGGTTCGGCCGTTCGGAAAATCCCATACCCTGACGTATCACCACCGTGGCCAGGTTGCCAGGTGCGGTGGAAAGATCTGTCCCGAAAAAAGAGAAGCCACAGTAGAAAGCTAATCTGTATGGATTTGAGAGATTTCTCCATCTTTTGAATCTTCAGGAAGGATTTGTGTTCTATGATGTTCTATGAGTAAAGTCGATAATTGACATTGATCATTGACCGTCAGTTGACACACCATCTGAGCTGCACCTGCTTCGCAGCATGGATCACCTTGCTGGAAGTCTCAATGCGCTTCCCAGGAAATGTGACGGATTGCTGCTCAAATCAGACATTTCCTTTTTTGAGCCCCAGGTTTTTGAACCTTGACCCATGATCATTTGGTTTAATGAAACATATTTAAAGCCTGAATTTACCCTAATTTACCCATGTTGAAAAGGGTACAGTATCTTATTGCACGTTTCCTGTGGCCATTTCTATGGCTCAGGGTTGCGCTACCCCCACAACACCCGAGGATGGCTGCAGGGTGCTATCCTTTCACCCAGGAACGGCCGGCTCCAACTCAACCACATCCACTTGACAATGGGGTAAGCCTTCGGCAATGAAGGACCTCAGTGATATGAACAATGGGGATTCATGGGACACAACCCAAGAATAGTGGAAATTACCATCAACAATGGTTGTTTAACCAAGAACTATAGAGGGATGAAGAAACAACATGAAACAACACATTGGATTGCAAGAATACTCTGCATTTGACAAAAAGTGGAAGATGCTCAAAACATTGCTGTTCCAGTTCGTATTTACTTTGAAAGTTTGGTTCAAAACCGTGGAATGGAATGGACCCGGAATGGGGGCCTCTATGTTCAAACAATACCAAAATGATCCAAAATGCACACCCTTGCTGAAATCGACGGTGAGCCCCCAGCGGAACGGAGCCACCCCCCAAGCCGATGCAAAGGATGCGCAGTTGCTCCTGCAGCGACTACGTACCATTGAAAGGATTGATGTGTCCACCCAAACTGGCAATAAAGAACCAGAAGATGTCAACTGTTACCCCTTAAGATGTTGGTGCTTTTGCTTTCACCATCTTTCACCCATGTTTCATGCATTGAATTTTCTGCTGGTTTGACATTTCCTGGCAGTAGAGCCTTGTCAGCAAGACTAGCCTGCTACATTATCAACTTCAGAATCTGCATCAATTAAACTTGCTTAGATTCATTCAGATTCTTGGCTGGGGGTATTTAGAATCTAGGATACTGTACCCTCTGGTAAACTAACATAACTATGGAAAGATCCACCATTTTTAATGGGTAAACTCACTATTTCAATGGCCATTTTCAATAGCTTTTTGTATGTTTACCAGAGGGTACCCATACCTCTAACATCCCCAACACACGTTCCGTTCCGAACGGTGCATGTGCCAAATCACCGTTGCAAGGTGGTGCCCTTTGTAGCTCAGTTGGTTTAGGCAACACTCCAGCCACTGGATAGGGTTTCCAGCAGATATATCATGGTTTTATAGTTAACAACCCCTAGTTTTGGGAGCTACATACCCTATTTATATATATATATATATGTACATACATACATTTTCTTAATGGGGTTACAAACCGACAAACATCACTGTGGATACGTCAGTCTCGCTACATTCGCACCTTGGACGTTTAAATCCTGCCAGATTTTTTGCAGAATAATCAAGTGAACATCCATAAATCCGAACTAATGATTTTGAGGTTCACCAAGCAGAACATGGTCTTTGGATGTCGTTGGATCCATAGCCATACATCTCCTCTAAGATCCTTTAGGTCTCCCTTGGTGGATGCAACTTTCAATTTCTTCATCTGGGATTGTCTCAAAATAGGATGGCTCATGGTCAATCATCAAATTTGACCCAATCAGTGGCCATTTTGGGGCTATCCTAGCCATATCTAACCATCGTTTTTTCATATGTCTCCCATTGTTCCATGTTCCGCGGCGCGTGGCGGCTCCTTGCCCCTGCGTCGCACCGGTGCCCCCACCGCGGAGAGGGCGGCCAGAACTACGGTGGCAAAGGACTTGCGAGCAGCGATTGGGGTGACGGGGGGCCGTTCGCCTCTGGTGATTGAACATAGCGAAGTGGAACATCACCATGTTTAAGAGGTACATCATCTATAAATGATGTACCAACCAAAAAAAAATGTGGGAATATCCGTAGAGTTATGGCCCTTGACATAAATGGGATTAATGGGATTAGAGCTCCTGTAACTAAGATTAAAGATATCACTTAAATGAGGTTCGTTAGCCAGTTATAAATGTTAAGAGCTACAACCGTGGGGAACCTATATGGAACCAATGAAACCACAAAAGGGTTGGTCACTGTGGTATGGTGTCGTACCAGTTTTAGTCCCTAACAATATCCAACAATCCATTTTTTGTATCCTAACAGTATCTGGTTTCTAATACCCAACGTTATCTAATCATCAATTTTTGGTATGTAATCCTCTGTTTTTCTGGGGGCTGTATGATTTTGATCCATTCCCACGGAATAAATACAAAATGGCATGAACCCCCATTGGGTGTATGGTTTAAGGTAAACCCCAGTTGGTGTAAAATTGGGCCAAAACCATCATTGTTTTTTCCACGTTACTTCTGATGGAACGCCAAGTTCCGAAGCTTTTTGGGAGGATGTCAGCAGGTACGCTCCAGAGTTGTTTGCCCACATGCACCCGACAAACAAATATTAGGTACCTGATCCATACATTCATACATGGAGAACATGGAACTTCTAGGTTTCCTAGTGTTCGCAAAGCAAACTTGTTTTTGTTGTGGGGGTTATTTTTACTTTCAAAAATAACATCAAAACAACACCATAGAACACCATGGTAGATTATCTTTACCCGGGCCCTGTTTACCAAACCTATCATCCCCCAATCTACTGATTTGTCTCAGCCTTCCCAGTTTGTGAATTGTAACCATCCCCATGACACCAATTGCCACCATTTCTGTTTCAAATCTTCTTTCTTTGGTCAGTAAATATTCCCATGTAGGCTATACAAGTCACCTTTTGTTTGGAGTTCATATTCCATTTCTGTCGGCTCAAATTTCCCGATTTCTGTTGGTGAAAAGCCCGATTTATGGCACTGGCTTTAGCTGCCTTGGTATAGGCCAAGGGCACCACGGCTCCTTCCAAGAAGCGCGGCACCATTGGGATTTGCTGATGGGTGGTGTTTTTCTGGAAAAAACGATTGGTAACCAAAAAAAAAAGATATGAATCCACCAACAAAGGAATTCAGCAATAGTGGAATGACCAATCGTGGATTCCTTCAGCTCCTTCTGGAAATTAGAAACAGAGAAATTCACCATAGTGGATTACCCCGATGGATTGAGAGACTTTCCCCAATAGTGGATTGGTTGGGACATCAAAACCTGAGCTTTAGCGTCGACTGGCAGTGAGAACCACAACCCTGGAACTTGTCAGCGAATCAAGCATTGAGTTGGCTGATGTTTAGGCTCCCCCTCTTGAACATTTGCCAAAAACATATGTATTATTATGTACTACTTTATGTACGTGGTACTTTATGTACGTATAATATATATATATATATAATATGTGAACAAATTGATCCTTGTTCTGGATACCTTTTCAGTTGTGGTTCCCTATGTGCTGATAGTCGGAGCTGTCAAACCATGCAGCAGCGGAGCGCGTTATTTTGGCCTCGCAGTGGGTCTTGAGCCAAAATGGTGTCCCGTGCAAGTATGTACATATGCTCAACATATGTAACTACTGTGTTACTTCGTTCCCTTTAACACCCCCCATGCCCGTGGTATCGCATGAGGAAGCCTAATGACTCTGGAGTGTACCCGGCGCATACCAGAAATTCCATCATCTTCTCATAGATCTCTAAAGTCTTGATGACAGGCATCATCATGTTTCTTGGTCGTCCTGAGTACAACTTCTCTCCTTCTGACCATGAATTCCTCTTCCCTTTCTCCTGAAAGAGTTCGTCCAACTCCAGCTCCGTCGGTCGCTTGAGGTTGCCATCCTGGTCTTCTCCTGTGTAAGGGCAGAAGTCGTCCAGGTCCAGCCGGACTCGCTTGGTTTCCGTCATCATCTCATGGTACTCCTCTGGGGTCATAGTGACTCTCTGCTTGTAGTAAAACCTGAACATTGTGATGACCTTTGACATGACTGCATTGTCATACAAGTGAGCCGCGGCCTCGGAGACATCATTGTTGATAAGTCCGTCTTCTGGCATTCCCTTGCTGCCGCTCTCGAGGTTCTTAGTCCATGCTGGAAGTTTGGAAGAGGGTTCATCTTCAGGTTCGACGTCCATTTCATCGTCGTCTTCTTCAACGATTTCATCGTCCTCCTGTTGAGCTTCCTCCTCCTGATCCATTTCCTCATCATCGCCTTCATTGTAGTCGACCTCGTCAGGATTGAAGCCATAGTCGTTGGATTCGGATACGTTTTCTTGTGCTTGATTGACCGTATCCTTGAACAACGATTCTTCTTGTCGACGAACTTCTTCATCGAGCTCTTTCTTTGTGGCCTCATCTTCATCGTCTTCAGGAGCTTGTAGCCGATATGGACGAATTCCACAGCTTTCGAGTTCCGTCCAGCAAACTAGACACACTGCTAGCTTTGTCGGCGTCTCGTTGAGACAGTGAGGACAATTGCGGCAACCTGATGTTTGCACCCTTTTGCGTTCGACTATGTAGTCAATCAGCTTGATGCGGGCCAGGTATTGCTCTTGTCCGCCAGGCTCGATGAGGTTGTTCTTGAATTGGTTGACGATGTTCATGGCATCCATGGCGGTTTCGTCAAACGGTTGATCTTCGGCGTCGATGCACTGACTTGCAACCCTCAAGATGGACTCCTTGGTGGCTACCGTTCTTGATTTGATAGTTCCAGACCGGACTACCTGGTCGTCGCCCGACGGGACGAACAACCGGAGCCATGTCTTATTGTTTTGGTCCTTGGGGTCCTGAATCCATCCTCCTTTGATTGCCGAGAACGGGATGATCTTTGGTGAAACGATCTGTCCCGAGTCAGTCAGTCGACCGCCATATTCCACCATCAAGGTCTCGGTCGGGACGAACAAGCAAATGTAGTCCCCCCTTCGCGTATCAACGCTCTTCGTGATGGTCCATGATCTGTGATCCCATGGCACATACGGGTTGAAGAACGTGAACATCCGGTGACCTTCTCCAAGACCTCCTGGAATTAATCCCTGCCTCCAAATGCTTCGAAGGTTGGTCTTCTTGGTGATGTGGAAACAAACCGGTAACGATAAAATGGTGTTGGGCGCGATTGGATGTGAAAGTAGTGAGGACAGCAATGAGACGTCTTCCCTCGAAGATCCTTCTTTGTGCCCCGTAGGAGCACGGACCGCCACAGGGTAGAGCAGTAGACCTTCATCGGGGATGTTCGTGTCCGCATCGACCTTGTTGTCAATGCATGTCAGGCTGGTGCGCTCAATGTCCTTGTTGATACCAAATGCCAAGACTTGTTCACGAACACGACGTCCGTATCGGGCACAGTGGAACATGATCTTGAAGAGCAATGTCATGCGGTAGTTTGCCTCATTGAGATTCCAGGCATTCTGATCATTTGCTCTCCCTTTTGGGGCAAGGAATACATGTGGCCAGCGTGCGTACTCGTGCCTCCAGATGGACTCACATTTGAGCACCTCCTCGATGGGCACCCAGCCGGCGTCATCACATGACAGACTCTGTTGTTCTGATACCTTCCCCACGTTGTGCCGTAGGATCCTGTTTAGTGAGGTACTCACCTTGTCCTCGTATGGATTGAGTCGGTTGCCAGTCTCGAAGCGGTAGTTGGCTGCATATTCGACACCGCCAAAGTATGAGCAGTTGAAGAAATGTGCCCCCGTGGTTGGGATGATTTTCAAGAAACCATCTTGCGGCGCCTCGACTCTCTTGTAGAAGGGCTTCCTGATGTTGTTATCAGAGTAGCTTGCCATGAAGTCTGGCACGGACCACGAGTCACCTCCTCCTCTGACAATAGCGTCTCGGATCACTTCGTTGAGGTCAACAATGTTCTGTGGTCCTAGCTTTGTAACATCACGTCCTTCTATGCAGAATCTACCATACTCATCAAGGTCACCAACTTCAGACATAGTCCTGATGCTGTCGTACCATTGGTGTTCACTAAACCTCGATTTTGTAGGTTCATCCGTTTGCCCCGACCCGTCAGTAGCACCTGAACCGTCCTTCTTGTGCTCGGGAGGCTCCATATCGACGTCATCAGATGTTGGACTATCAGCCTCGAGCGACGCTCGGACGGCCTTTAGCACCTTTCTGACTTCATCCCTCTTCTCATGTCCACATTCAAGATGGCCATGTTTGGTGCTACCACAATGCAAGCACACATTGACATCCTCAGAGACGGTAAAGAGTTTTCCCAATGCATCCAAAAGTTGTTGTTTCCCGGAAATCTCTGAGTCCCTGACAACATCGGTGGGATCATTTGCTGGCTCATCAGCTTCCTCCTCCCCAGGGTGAGCCGACGACTCGTCACCTGGTTTGGCATCGGCATCCGTGCCCATGCTGGCGTCACCCCCTGTGATGTTGTTCTTCCTCCGATAATGAGAAAACACCTGATCCTTCTCCCACTCCGTGAGGCAGCAGAAGTTGGCCAGTGAATCATATCCGGGGATTGCATGGATGATCTTCATGACCCTTTCAGCTTCTGCGGTTTGCAGTGTGCAGTCAAAGGATCCCCGTCTCTTGTCATTGATAGTGCTTGAGGTTCTTGAGGTCGACGTGAACTGAGCCAATGCCTTTTCCAATCCATTGAGATACTCTGCTGGATCGACACTGGCATTGAAAACATCCACGACTCCTTTGGCCATATTGGCCACGTCCAAGACACCAAGCCAGAACTCGATGATATCTCCAGTTTTCTCGGCAGATGCACGGGAGAATCCAAAGATCTCGTTCCTCTCCTTCACCTCGGGAACGGCGACCTTCTCGAAGAAATCTTTGTATGCGACATTTCCGCAATCCTTCGTGACTCTGTAGATCAAGAGCCACTTTTTCGCGACTTCATCAAAAACTCTTTCGCGATAGATACTGAATTGCTTGCTGCGTCCGTTCCGGAAAATTTCCAGAGCTTGCCTCTTCGAAATTCTGACTCCTCCCATGTGAGATAGAGATTTCATCAAGTGCTCCCCATACGCCAACGATGCATTTGAAATCAACGAAGACGCAGTAAATGTGAGCCATGTTTGAAATCCTTGATTGATGTCAACAATGTCAACACCAAGATCCTCGAATGCAACCTTCAACCTGGCCGCAAGGAGTAGTACGGACTTCCTGGCCTCCAATGTGGGAGCTGAACGCTTGCAATGGTCCTGGGTATTGGCGGAGCAATTGATGCAATGGGTAGGTCTCAACTGGCATGTCTCGATCTCATCCATTGTCACTGCGCCTCTGCAGGTTCCGCATAGGATGTCGTTGTTCTCCTTGTCAATGGTGAACCACATGCATCGATCGGAAACAACTGGTTCCAGCTCATGGGTGCCGACCACCGGTTCGACCCAACTGGTTTTGAACCTTTTGTCTTTGGTGAATCTGTTCACGGCGGTCCCAGGGCCTCGCTGGAAGATTGTGGTGTCGTCATTTGCATAGTCACCAGGGGTCATTTCGCCGCCGGCGATCTTGAACGCCTCAGTTGGTCCGGTCATATCCTCCAGAACTTTGGCAATGATGCCCGATTCATCAGGTTTGAACGCTCCCTCATTGAGAACTGATACGTATTCCCTGTTCGTGGCACACATGAGGAAGACCCTTTGGCGAAATAGATTCTTCTCGATGACAGACCAAATTGCCGTCTTTCCCAAAGTCCCCTTCTTGGTTGTACTCAAAATTGGATATTGTTTCCCAAATTGTGAATACGTTGACCGCCACATTCTCTGGTCCGATGTCACCAGGATCCCTTGGAGTCTCATCTTCTCAATCAGCTCATCTGCGATCCTGGACGTGACAGAGTCCATTCCGTTGAACATGGAGTCATTGTTGATGGCTACCATCAGGGGTCGGGACGTGACTTGATCAAGATCGAGCACCCCTTTGACAAACTGATTCTTGAAGTCGTTTTCAAGCATAACACAATGAGGTGGTTTTGGTGCATGTAGGAACTGCAATGACAACCAAAGATGCACAGTTATCAAACCATCGTCG